ATAGAGGCAAAGGAAGGGCCCTTCAAGCTTAGGAGTGAGGAAGCTGGTAAAGAGCCTGGGGTGGGGAGTGCAGAGGGAAAGGCAAGAGTATGTTCCCTGGAAGGAGAGCTCACTGGGTCCTCTGTCCTAAGGGTTTTAAGGGTGGAGATTTTAGGGGAGGTCCCAAGGGAAGATCTCAATGGAATATTCAGCAGCTTTCCAGGGGTGTCCTTTCAGGGTCTAAGTCTCCACTGATTGGTTGGCACCAGGGCAGGGGGTCATGATCCAATGCAGCTGGTCCTGAGGTCATACATGGGATTGCTGGTTTGTTTGTTTTTTTACTTTTCTGACCCTGAAACTGAAATACAACTGAGGCCTAGATGTTATCTCTCAGGAGGAAAGGTTACGGGGGGGGGGAGAGTCCAAACTACAGGGCAAGAGATATTCTATGTAGGAAAGTTCACCCTGGGAGCAAGATTCTACCCTACAATTGTCCTTTCCTAGGCACCTAGGGCTTCCCACCCTGGTGACCTTTTGTACCTGGCCCATCATTCTTGCTCTGCTCATGTCTGTCTGCCTACATTACAAAGCACAACAAGGTATTTCTAGATTTCAAAAATGATTTTTAAAAGAATTATTATTATTTGCAACTTGGCTTTTCAGTTACTGGGGTAGGGAACCTATCACATTTTAAATGAGATTTTTAAATTATCAAATGTTGAATTCTGAACACTTTCTGAGAGCAGTTTTTATTGTTATGCTGATTTAGAGAAATTTTATTTATTTTCTTGATTTCAGAGAGAAAACAAGAAGGGAGAGACAGAAACATCAATGATCCCACACTGGGGAATCAAGCCTGCAAGCAGGGCTTGTGCCCTGACTGGAAACTGAAACCTGACTTCCTCATAGGTTGGTGCTCAACCACTGGGCCACACTGGCTGGGCTAGACAAATTTTAATCTATATTCTGTCACAAAATAGCACATTCATTTAAAAGTTATCAAAAAATTTTAAAAATTACACAGTGTACATCACTTGATATTGGGAAAAGAATCTAAACTTGTATATATTATGAGATTGCTATAAAAAGTAACTAACATACCAATCTAAGTTAAATCACTTTTACTTAAAGTTACTTAATATTGTTCATGCAAAAGTGGTATTTTAAAAATTTCTAAGAATCATATGGTTGTTATTATGTCTATAGCACTATATTTCTGAAAGAGAAATTTGAAGATACCTATTTTCAAATTAGAGGCCCAATGCACGAAATTCATGCACGAGGCTGGGAAGGGTCCCTCAGCCCGGCCTGCGCCCTCTTGTAATCCAGGACCCCTAGCTCCTAATTGCCCACCTGCTTGCTCCTTACACTTGGCTAGCAGCTCCTTAGCGTTGCTGCAGCTGCACTGGCCAGCAGTGAGCCTGGCTTCTTGCTGAGTGGCGCTCCCGCTGTGGGAACGCACTGACCACCAGGGGGCAGCTCCTGCATTGAGCGCCTGGTGGTCAGTGCATGTCATAGTGACCAGTCATCCTGCCATAATGGTCCCTGGGTTTCTATATAGAGAGATTATTTACCTGCTTAAAATTACAGACTTATACAATATAGTAAATTTAAAAGTTGAAGTATTTTTGACTTGTGTTAAAAAGAAACTAGAAAAGCAGTAAGAGATCTATGACACTGATAATTTTGGTATTCATGCATGCTTTCAAGAAAAAAAATGGCATATAGAGCATTTTCACTTAGGGTTCATCTTCATTATCTAAATTTCTGTATAGTTCATAAACAGACCTCACAAAAAGGATATGAATCAATCCTTAATATTTGTATGTACAAATTGGAAGCAAAAAATATAGTTCAAATGAACTAAAAGTCACGTTTTCTAGAAAACTTGTGTTTCTTAGCCACTGATCTGTGGATAAAAAGGGGCCACACGCTAACCTGACAAGCTCAGGAAAGGCCTGTGTGGTGGTCTTGCAAACTCAAAGACCTAAGGTCTGAATTTAAAACTTTAACTAAAAGCAGTTATCATGGTTAGTCATGTCCTAGGCTGGTATCTTCCCTGACAAATGTCAATCTTTACTTTAACTGAGTCTTTTGTCTTTTTTTGCATCTATGATAACATATGAAGTATGGTACCTATTTGCTTTAACAATGGACAGGTTATTTTGATTTTCTGAATTATATAAATCATCCCATTTGATTAAATGCCTTATTGATTGTAAGGTGACTATCCCATGGGTTGTGGTCATACTGGTCTTAGAAAGCATATTTTTCCTTCACCTGGGAAGGACAGCAATTATCTCAAGGTCAGAGGGCTCTAGACGCAAAACTGTAATTTAGCTAACATGCCTAAGTTTAACCCAGGTTACCTGAGGGCTCTAGATTATGTATTTCCGTCAATTCAGTGACCCCGAGACCCAAAACTATAATTAACATGCTTAATTCTGCTTCTGTAAACTGCTTTTTTCGAGCCAGGTTCCTCATTCCAAACCCTGGGATGTAATCAATACATTTGTGATTTTTTGCCTATATAACCTTGGAGCTGCGACCATCTTGTGACTATGAGATTTAGGGAATGGCCCCTCATAGTCCCGGATTGCAATAAATGTGACTCTTTAATTCACCTTCTTGAGGTGTCCTTCTGTGATTCGCGGGGTACATTACAACACATATAGTCAGAATGTCCAAGTAATTTTCCTTTTTTCTGGACCCCTAAAGCACAGCACAGGCACCACTGTGTGGAGACCACAAATCCCCTCACAGTACTGAGTTCATTGTTGACTGTTAACTATCCTGCACCCACCTATGTAAAAGAAGTATGTGTCTATCATTTTACTTTTTATCCAATCCCTGCTTTGCTTTCTCCCACTTCCCTAATCTATCAGCAATGGATGCCATGTAAACCACTTACATCTCCTCTTTTGGTTGTAATGTATAAAACAAGGTAAAAAATCGCCATTCTCTGGAGCATTCTCCCAATTGAAATTCTGCTTCCTGACAATTGTCGACAGTTTGGTTTACATAAACTCGCAAAATTTCTTTACAAGTTTGAATGTTTTCTTAACAGATTTCTAACGTACCTTAGGCTTCAATTCAACACTAAATTATTGATACTTGAAGCCTTAGCAGGGTAAGTCAGTTGGTTAGAGCATAGTCCAATATGCCAAGGTTGAGGGTTTGATCCCTGGTTAGGGCATGTACAAGAATCAACCAATGAATACATAAATAAGTGGAACAACAAATTGATGCTTCTCTCCCTTCCCCCTTTCTCTAAAATCAAACTTAAAAAAAAAAAAAAGAATCAACAGCCCTAGCTGGTTTGGCTCAGCGGATAGAGCATCAGCCTGTGGACTCAAGGTTCCGGGTTCGATTCCGATGAAGGGCACATGCCAGGGATTGCAGGGGGTCGATCCCCAGTTGGGGGTATACAGGAGGCAGCCAATTAATGATTCTCTTTCATCATTGATGTGTCTCCCTCTCTCTCCCTCTCCCTTCTTCTTTGAAATCAATAAAAATATATTTTATAAAATAGTAAAAAAAAAAAAAAAAGAATCAAGGAATGAATGCATAAGTGGAACAAATCGGTTTCCCTCCCGCTCTGTAAAATCAGTAAGTAAAAAAATAAAAATATAAATTATTGATCCCGGAACCCTTGCAATTTATGTTTTATAAAATTCAAATTAAAAAGCAAATTTTAAAAATAAAATATTTAATTATTTTACTGCTGTTTTCTTTGGTATTCCTGCAACAAAACACACGGTACTGTTGACTCTGTTGGGCCACCAGTTAACCTTGAACAATTGAAAACTAAACTCAAGGCAGTAAGATGAATAGCTTTTTCTTCTCATGCATGTCAAAATTGCTAAAGGTAATCACAAAATAGGAGTCATTTATCGGCTAGGTTCTCGAATCTGATAAAATTTCCCCGTCAAATTAGACAACGCGTGTTTCCAACTTTGGTAAAAAATAAAAAGAGGAAGAAAAAAAAAAAAAGAGGTACTTCTTGTGTCCTTCCTTCCAACCGAAAAAGAGCCCAGACGTTAGGCTGCATTCCCGCAGGAAAGCCGCCCAGGCCCACGGCGCCGCGGCCAGGCTCGGGCCAGGCCGCCCCAAACACGGCTCACCCTCCCGATCGTCACCAGGGAAACCAAGATCTGACCAAATTCCGCCTGCACTCCTACTGATTCTACAAAGACCAGCACCTTCCGGCGTTTAAAAAAGACCGCTGCCGGAGTGCCGGCTGCACACTAGCGAACTGCCCGAACGCAGGACCTTACGGCCCCTGGGACCAAGTGCTGGCCTCAGTCCAAGGATAACTGTGGGGAAGAGCACACACCTCGGCGGCCGCTCCTTCGCCAAAGCGGGAAACGAAGACGTCTCTTTCCAACCTGACCATAACGACGAGCCGCTCCCTCTCGCCCCCTTCCACTACCGACCAGCCCTGTTCCTTTCTGTACCAGATAGTTCACCAGCCAACCTCCTTTGTGAGTAAAGGTGGAGGGCCGGAAACTCCGAGGCAAACATGATTGGAACAGCTTCCTGGAATTCCCGGACTCGATTTTAAGACATTACGGGTCCCACCAAGCCCTCGCAAAGACGAGCCAACCGAAGCCACCACTACCGTTCACCGCTCTAGCCAGGGCCAAGAACCGGGCCAAGAAGACTTTTCCCTTTCAGGGAAGTGAGAGGCGCCGGCTCTGTGCCCTCACACCCACACCCGCGCCCCGTCCTCCACAGCTCCCTCAGGACCCCTCTACACCTTAAGCCGCTAACTATGTTTTCAAGCGCCGCGAAGCCCGTCCTCAGCCACACACAAGATGGCAGCCAAGCACCTACCGGAGGAAACAGCTGCGCCACCACTCCTGTGAAGCCGGCGTCTCGACTGCGGGTATCCCCATTGGCCCAGCGAGAGAGCGCGAGACCACGCGAGAGCGCCGTCAGCAAATGGGCCGGCGGCGCTTCGGCGCCTCCGCGTTGCCGGCGGCTCGCGCGCGGCTGTCGGAGGCGTGGCCGCAGTGCGCGGTGCAAGCACAGGGCCGCGGACCGGGAGGTGTCCGACTCCTCCCCTTCAGGTTCGCGTGTGGTAGGCCTGGATGTTACCGGAGGGGCGGTCCTTCCTCCGGCCGCGGTGCGAGCTAGTAAATGGTGAAGTACTTCCCAGACAGGAGGCACCTGGGGCCGTGCGATCTTGGTGGAGTGGAGTCGGAGAGGGTCCCGACCTGCGGTGAACCCAGCCTCGCGTGCGGAGTCTGCCTTCAGGTCTGGCGGGCGGCAAGGAAAACGCAGTGGCGCCCGTGTAGGCGAGGCACGGCCGGGGGTGGCTCCCTGACGGGTCCTGCGGCCCAGGACCTGGGAACGGAACGCCGGGAGCCCTTGCCACCTCCCTTCACCCACGTGCCGTCCTGTCCCTGACCGGAGCGGGGAGTTGGGGCGCACCAAGTCCCCAACCCCCATTTCAGTCTAGATCTTGGGGTTTACACCTTCATGTGAGGTGATTCCTAAGCAGCCAGGACCCGAGGCTGTAAAAGGGCTGCAGGAAATGGACTGCAGTGTAAAACCCAGAAGCAGAACTTGAACGTTTAACCACTGACCCATTTCACAGGTAAGACTACACAAGCCCTAAGTAAGTAAAATCATTTATCCAGTTTCACGCGGTTAAGATCCGATCCTAGGAGCACCTGACTCATTAACCACAACCCAGTGAGGAAGTAGTTAATCAATGAGTGATGAAAATAAGGAACAGTTGGGATTAACTGTGCTCTTCGGCTTGTGGAAACCTGCAGTAAGTTCTGTATGTTTTGATGAATGAGGCTAGGAAAGGGGTAACTGAGGCGGTAGATGGAATTAAAAAAAAAAAACGAACTCTGAAACCGTACCACCTGGTTCCTTTATTTTGTTTCTGCCACTTTCACTAGAAAAAACAACATGCTAATCTATCTGATTGTTATGCAGAATAAGAACAAGGGAAGTAGTGTGCCAGATAAGTGACTTATACACAAGTTTTGTTCATTAGTGTTATATAATTAAAACAAGAAACGTAGGAAATGGTCACAGTTTCATAAGACCCTATTTTTAAAAAGGAGAAGGAACCGTAAATTGAAGTGGAACTACTTTTCTGCCAAAATGGAAAAGCGAAAAGCGGAAATATATCAACAAATTTTAAAATCCCTCTTATACTCCAAAATATTAACACTGGTTGTCCCTGGATGGTGAAACTGTGAGTGATTTAAATTTTCTTTTTTAAGAAAATATGTTTTTATTGATTTCAGAGAGAGGAAGGGAGAGATAAAAACATCAAGAATGAGAGAGAATCATCCATTCAAGGCTTCCTGCACACCGCGGAAACCTAGGCATTTGCCAACCTGTAATCTAACCATGACCTGGTTCATGGGTCTGGGCTCTAACCACTGAAAACACCAGCCAAACTAAAGTTTTCTCTTTATGCTTTACTATGTTTTGCAAATTTTCTCTACTAAACATGTGTTACCTTTGAAAGTTCAGTTATTTTTTAAAATCTTTATTGATTTTTTTAAATTTTTAGTTCAGAGGAAGGAAAAGGGAGAGAGACATAGAAATATCAATGATGAGAATCATTGATTGGCTGCTTCCTGCACACCCCCCACTGGGATCAAGCCCAAAACCCAGGCATGGACCCTGACAGGAATCGAACTGTGACCTGATTCAGAAGTCGATGCTCAACCACTGAGCGACACAGGCTGGGCATAAGTTCAGTTATTTTTAAATTTTTAGAAGTTATGAACACTGGTGAGAGCTTTTTTAAAAAGAACCTATTACCGAGTGTCCTTATATGCTGTAGGTGGACGTATAAATTCGTAGGACCTTTCTAGAAAGCAGTTTGGCAATATGCTCCGGAAAGCTTTAAAATGGACAGTCCCTTTTGAAAACTATATACTTTTTAAATTAAGTACACTACATTTTCTTTTACAAAATTAGAACTTTACAGATGGATAAAGAGAACAATCTACAGTCCCTGAATTCCCGCCCGCCTCCACCCTCCTCCAACAAAGACTGGTGCAGAGCCTTCAAGTCCTTTTTTTTATACTTAACGTAGTCTCAATAGGTGCATATATGCATTTATAATTTTTAAAAAGGGAAATAGTAAACTATGTAATTCTATACCTCTTCACTTGACAATGTTTTTGCAGTGTATACATGTTATTTATAGCTCATTATGTTATGTATGGCTCATTTCTTTTAGTGTTCCAGTGTATAACAATTTTTTTTTCTTTTGTTGTTTTTTTTTTGTTTGTTGGTTTTTTTCCAAGATGTGTCTTTCATATAAAAATAATTTCTTTATTATTTTTTTTATCCTTACCTGAGGATATGTTTCCATTGATTTTTAGAGAATGTGGAAGAGAAAGGGAAAGACAGAGAAACATCTGAGAGGAACACTTTGATTGGTTGCCTACTGCGTGAACTCTCACCTGGGCCCCGGCCACAGAGGAGCCTGCAACCTAGGTACATGCCCTTGGTCAGAATTGAACTCAGACCCTGCCATCAGCAAGCCAAGGCATTATCCACTGAGCCAAACCGGCTAGGGCAGGATATGACATTTCTTAGCCCTCCAGCGGCGGACCTTTGTTTTTTTCGCCAAGAGTGTGGTGAAAAACCCTAGATCACGTTTTTGGATTCTTTATTTTTTAATTAAATCTTTATTGTTCAGATTATTACATTTGTTCCTCTTTTTTCCCCCCATAACTCCCCTTCTCCCAGTTCCCACCCCACCCTCCACCCTCACTCCCCACCCACTGTCCTCATCCATAGGTGCATGATTTTTGTCCAGTCTCT